TTCTTTTACATTGTACATCTTGAGACAGAACTGCACAAATGGTGAATTCAATTATCGGGGAAGATGAGAAGCCCTGCTTTGGCAGATCGATGTTTGTCAAAATTTATTTCAAGTCATCATGACATGACCTCGTAGGGTGGTTCTACACTGTCCAGTGGGGTTGAGATGACCCTGTAGGGGGTTCTACACTGTCCAGTGAGGTTGAGATGACCCTGGAGGGTGGTTCTACACTGCCCAGTGGAATTGAGATGACCCTGGGGGGCGGTTGGTTCTACATTGTCTAATGGGGTTGAGATGACCCTGGGGGGCGGTTCTACACTGCCCAGTGGGGTTGAGATGACCCTGTGATGGTTCTACACAGTCCAGTGGGGTTGAGATGACCCTGTGGGGGCGGTTGGTTCTACACTGTCCAGTGGGGTTGAGATGACCCTGTGTGGGTGGTTCTACACTGTCCAGTGGGGTTGAGATGACCCTGTGGGTGGTTCTACACTTTCCAGTGGGGTTGAGATGACCCTGGGGGGCGGTTCTACACTGTCCAATGGGGTTGAGATGACCCTGTGGGTGGTTCTACACTGTCCAGTGGGGTTGAGATGACCCTGGTGGGTGGTTCTACACTGTCCAATGGGGTTGAGATGACCCTGGGGGGTGGTTCTACACTGTCCAATGGGGTTGAGATGACCCTGTGGGTGGTTCTACACTGTCCAATGGGGTTGAGATGACCCTGGGGGCGGTTCTACACTGTCCAATGGGGTTGAGATGACCCTGGGGGGGCGGTTCTACACTGTCCAATGGGGTTGAGATGACCCTGGGGGGCGGTTCTACACTGTCCAATGGGGTTGCTGTGAATTGGAATCAGTTTGATAGGACCCAACAACAGCAGCAACATGTTGTGCAAAAATTTGCATACTAGACTTGACCAACCAAAAGTTTATTTCTCCTCATTTTTGGAGATTTCCCCTCTCCTTATATAGTTCTATGCAGACAGCATTAATTTACACACTAGACCTCTGGCCCCTGTGATTACTGCCTCCTGGACTGCTAGGTCAGTTTAAACCTCAAGGTCAGCGGGTCAGGCTCTCTAGGTCCTCCTCAGAAACCCTATACATGGTTGTTGTGAGTCGGAATAGACCCACCAGTACTTAACCACAACAACAACCATTTCAAGGAGTCCTGGTGTGGCAATCTAGGCTATGCACTAGACTGCTAACCACAAGGTTGGCAGTTCAAACTCATCGGATGCTCCTTGGAAACCCTACACAGTGTTGCTGTGTGTAAGAACCAGCTCAATGGCACTTAACAATAACAATTTGAAGGATAAATTCTGGAGTCTATAGTTTGGATGGAGGGCAAGAAGAATGGAGGTGTTTAAACTGGGTTATATGACTGTTTTAAAGAAATTATGCTGTACCCTCTTTGGTCTAGATCATAAGAAAAAAATAGCTAAGAATATGAGCTTTAAAGTTAATAAAGTCACTATTGTTCTCTTTCTTGCTCTATTATGATAACAAGTAACAAAAGCCCAAGCCTTTCCATTTTTCCACATAAATTGAGTAGCAAAGTGTTTCTTTCTATGAACTTATTAACAGGTGGTAGGCTTAAACAGCTTTGCCTGGAGATTTCTGAATTTGGATTTGGAAAACAATTTGTGTTTAAGTCATTATTTAAAGTTTAATGAAACATTTTACAGAAATCTTTCTGAAAAGCTACTTCTGTGTCACTAAAACGAACTTAAAACATGTTGTTCAGGACAATGAGCATATGGAGAGCAGTCTTTCATCATAGAAACTTCTTAAATCGTCTGACTCTTCCACGTACACAACACTGTGTATGGATACTTTGTATTCTGATTAAAATCTGTCACTGGTGGCTCTAAGTTTGAAACTTGATCATAATAGATTTTATGCTTGGCAATTCGTCAACTTGTGTAAGAATTTCAAGCCAACCTGGTAGTACTAATCTTTCTGAGCATGGAAGGCACCCCCCCACCCTCCCAATATGAATCTTTTTAGAGAAATAAAAAGGCTGACAAGAATTCACGAACAATTGTTAAATGAGACCATTTATCATTTAATCTTGATTAATAGAAAATTCACAGGAGTTTTATTTGTGATTTTTTTTTTTCCCCAAGCTTAGTACATTTTACATTGTGAGAGATTTATCTTGTAGCAAACTGAATATTCTATTTGTGAGTCTGTGAAGACTTAAAGGTTATTTAACTCGCTTCCACATTTTATGAAGGAGGAAATAATTCTACGTCACATGCCTGATGTTTCCGTCATGCCTGATTCTGTCTGTATACACTATGTACATATGTACAAGCTATCAGCTATTGAAACCACTGATTCGATTAGCTTATTTGTAGAGTATCAATAATGAAAACAGTTTTAAGCACAAATTCACTTAAAGAAAAGTTTTACGAGTAGTATATTTCAAATAATAAAAAAAAGATAAAGATGGGATATGAAAGATAAGTCTTCACAGATTGTTTTGTGTGTTTTTAAAGAAGTCATAAATTCTTAATTCTTTGTATTGTAGAATACATGAAGACACACAGGTATTTTCATTGTATTTATTTTAGCTCGTCAGTTGTGTGTGTGATGGTGTGGTGACATGTTTCTAAACACTTAATCTGGTTAGTCATGCTGATTATAAAATTAAAACTATGACCTCCAACTGGATAATGCCATGTTTAATATGTCCCCCCCTAACTGTTTTTGGCTACATCTCTAGAAGTTCTGGGTAGCTGTCCTTGTGTATGGATGAGTGTAGTGGAGAAAAGAATGGAAAGAGGCTAACTGGTTAGACTTGAGGTAGTGAAGTAGGGACCAGATTCATAAAGAATGCTGGGATATAGAGGAAGTAAATCTACTGATGGAATATGGGTATTTTCCCATTATTATGTTTTGACTTTATGGAATCAAGTACATCAATTCCCAGAAACACCAAGAAGGAAGCAAATTCATTCCCCAGGGATTGTACTTCTAAGGAAGAACAGCCAGGCAGGCCACGTAAGAAGTTAACTCTGTTAGGAAACTATTGTAAGTAATGTTTTCGGCACTCTTGGTATTATTCCAAGTGGGGGCTAGAGAGGTGTTACGAGTGGCAAACAGTGTGCATTCTTCAACTTTCCTCTCCTTTGATTCAACTGACTGAGAGAGAAAAGAGTGCTGCACATGAAGAGTCACTTAGGTCAAAAGGAGTAACTGGTTTTTCCTTTTTACACAGTATCCTTTTCAAGGCAGATCAGACCAATCAATCTAAGGTTCCCTGGGTCTTGGTGTTAGTCAGTTTAGGAGATGACATCCTCTATATACTCTTCTACTGATTTCTGCTTCTTGAGTTTCTGGCTTAAGAACAGTCACCCTGCTCCATCTGGGCTAAGACGTGATTACTTCTTTGGAGCTGGAGGGATTCTATTTTCTTCTGTGCGTTTTTCAGTTGGATCTTTAGGGCATCATTATCTGCTTTCAAAGTATTTATTTCCTAAAGGGAACGGAGAATGAGGTATGTTAATAAAGCAGCAGTGAATAGCAAATCAGTTACACCACTGGAAGTACCACACTTGGATTGGCATCTCCTTTTCACTGTGGTTGAGAATTAAAAACTATTTTCAAGACAGTTATTTTGCCCTGAATAGAAAATAGTATCAAATAAGCATGTGCAAACAGCAATTAGTCATTGTTATTATTATCAAAGATGTGAGTGGCTAACAGGCAGAAGGAATAATTTCCAGGCAATAGGTGGATAATGACAAGACCTTTGGATATTGCATAGCAGGAATTGAACTTAATTGCTAGGAACAAAGAGTCTTTCATCAGGTTTGGGCTATAAAAGCAGGGACCCAGAGTACTGTCATTGTATGAGATCTTACAGTTCATGTAATTTAGTGTTCCTCCCCCAATCATTGACAACGAATGCCCCCTTTGATAAAGATCACAATTTTACCCTACCCTCTAAGCTGGGATTCAGTGATCTAATTCACAGCTATTTAATTATAGCATCATCAGTAGAATTTCAGTCTTCTAATTTTGAATCCAGTGTTCTTATTTCAAAAGGATAGGTGGATAATGTGGGGGTAATTTAGGTATGTTAAGCTCTCACCACCTGAATTAACCTAGATAGCTGTCAGTTAACTACTTTTATACGGTACATTCTGCAAAAGCCGGAAGCTGTGTAAGGTAGAAACCTGTCAAATCAGGAAAACTAGTGTTTATGAGCAATAGAAAAGTGTAAGACTGCACCTCGAAGACAGAAAACTTTAGATACCCCAAAAAACAGTCCTGTAGAGTTGTTCTCACAGGTTTCACTGACACTGAGCACATGCTTTGTGCCAGGGACTGCGACAAGATGACAGAACTCTTACTCCTCATAGCCACCCAGCTCTATAGAAGCAGAAAATGAGGCTGAAGATTTGAACCCAGGTACAGCTGATCCTAAGAGCCATTGCTTTATCTTTTTTCTCGTGCTGGTTTTAAACAAAAAAACATTAAAATGCTAATGTATATTATAATCCTTAACTTGTCATTTGGCTAGTAATTATAGATGGGATTGTTGAACTACAGACAGGTGAATCACTTTATGAAGTGATGGAACTCCTTTTGTCCCTCTAAAGCATACATAGTGAATGCTGGTCCTTAGGCCCCTTTCACTGGGATCAGAGTAAGCAGGTGACTTAGAAGATGGTGAGCGGGTTACTGACTGGTTATTACTGGGTAGAAATGATTTTGAGTCTAAGTCATCTGAATTTTCTCTATCACCCACTTTTTGCATCCAGAAGTCAATAGTTATCAATTAACTGCACCTTTTGAAAGCCAGGGTCCAAGCCCTGTATTTTACATATGCCCAAATAAGTTCAGAATTTACCAACTGACATAAAAAAAAATCTTAGATTGAAAACACATATCTTTGTTTCCAAGACCATAGGTCTTTCAACTCTATTTGGATCACTTTTCAAGGTGTTTTTCATTGTTCTTGGACAATGTCTTGGCTTTTGACAGTTTCTGCTCCTAAAGAGGGCTTTGTGTAACCCACATTCCACCACCTAATTGGCTTGATTCTTAAAGCACTTAAAAAAAGCAAGAAAAGGGCTTCACATACATTATGTAATTTGTTTCATTCAGCTGTTTCTCTAATTCAACTCCTGGGGGTTTGCTAGGGCCGGTACACTGCTGAGGAGGCCCTTTTGGATAGCTTCACTGTTTCCTGTAGGATTATTTAAGGAATTCTACCGAGGTGATAGGAGTCCTGGTGTGGCGCTGTGGGTTAATGTGCCAGACTGCAAAGCTGTTTGAATTGTAAGGTCGGTGGTTAAAGCTCACCAACTGCTTCTCAGAAACCCTACACTGGGTTGCTATTGGTTGGAATCAACCCAACAACTATGAGGAGATGCTGGTTTTGTGTTTGTGCTGATGAGCCTCCCCAAACAGGGCAAACTGTGATGCTTTGGGGGAAAAGGTCGACTAAGGACTTCTTTCCTAAATGAATGATGAATCTTTTCATTCCTGTCATAAGTTACCTACAATTGGTAAGAAACTGCTATCCCAAGACAAGGGATTTATCTAAGCAAGGCTTAACAGTAAACTTTGTATTCTGAACAACCGAGAAGTACATTAATAATGGACCCTACGGATTTGAGGATTTGGACGACTCTTGATGCTGTGGGATAAAGCACTGGACTGCAATGTTGATGGTTCAAAGTCACCAGCTGCTCTTTAGAAGTCCTATACAGGGTTGCTATGAGTTGGAACCGAATCGACGGCACTTAACAACAACACAACAACAACAATCTTGTTCCTAGTTGAAGGTCCTACGTTTCCAGTCTTCCACTTTCCTATCCCTTCTCTTCTGTTTACTATGCCCTCTTGTCTCAAACCTTGGAAACACATTTCCAAACTTCTCTTCTTCTTTTCTTGGTAAACTTTATTATGCCTTTTCCTATGCCTCCAGAGGACATAGTCTTAAAATTCGGACATTGTGAGCCTACTTTAGAAAGCTGCCTTGTGTCGTAGTTGTCATTTTATAGGTTATATTGCTCCTTAGTCTACTCAGCTGCACTTGCTTCCTACTGTCCGGTTAGGTGTTTTGATACATGTAGAAGATAAGCGCATTCCCTAATGTGCTAGAAAAGATGCCTTCATTTATACTGAGGCTTTTCCTGTGCTGACTAACACAGCATACTCGCCTTTTCTGATTTTTATCATTATAGCACTAAGATCACCTGCCTTTTCGGGGGGAAGATGCCCAGGCAATCCTAAGGGTCCCAAACTGAATCCTAATGAACATGTTAATAAAGACCTCTAGCATGAGAGGATTTGAGTGAGTTTTGGTTACACCAAAAAAGGGGGGAGTTTGGTAAAGCTAACTAATAGAAACTTTTTTCTCAATGGTCCTATTACGAACAGAACTTTGGGGTACTGGCAGCAACACAAACTGGCACTGCTAAAGGGATCGGAACCCTGTCAATCCTGCTCTACTTGTGCAATACGAACCAGGGCCCACACTGGGCTGTCGGTAAAAATAAAAAAATGGGGTTGGAGTCTTAGTTTGCTTTTCCTTTTGTTATCCAGCTGGTACTCAACCTGGTCTAAATTCAGTTCATGTGCTGTTCCCTAGCTTCACCCCACTTTGCTTCCTCTGAGCTTTTAGTCTCCTGTGACATGCAAGTGGGATGCCTCTCTGCTCCTCTGAGAACTGGGGAGAAGGTCTGACAAATGCAAAGTACCTGTTCCAAACGCTCTTGTAAAGCTGTGAGTTTGAGATGACGGAGTTCCTCCTTTGATTTTGTGAGAGAATCCTTATTCTCCCACTTGACAAAAGCCCTCTTTCTGACCAACACCGGGCTGGGGCATGGAGATGTGGGGCTGGGGAGCAAGTGAAGCGTATCCTGGGCTGTCTTCCTTGGGGAAGACCATACATAAGGACCAGGAGGGCCGTCACTACCAATCCAAAGCAGTGGCTCGGTCTGGGTGGCCTTGTGGGCGACAGTCCTCTTCAGTCGAACAGAAATCTTCTGTGAGGACACCCCCATCAGCATGATGGTCCGATCTTTACTTTCCTCACCGTGTTCCACAGCCTCCCCACTGGGAAATGTAAAAGGTCCTTCCTCAGGTCCTGCAGAAGATACATAACATGGTAGAATTCTAACCCAGAAGGGCTAGCCTGACACACGAGTCTCAAATGAGACTTTGTTGCTGTAGAAAGTCTAGAGACCCAAACTGGACCATTTTCAGGTGACTGATTTAGGGAGTGATTGAGGGCTGAACTCCAGGGGCTTTGTTGGCCAAGCCAACTGATAAACGGCCGCTACATCCACCTGAGGGAAGGACATCTGTTTCTGGTTTGTACAGGGCGACCTGTCTCACTTTTGTAGTTTCATGAATTAAAGGCAATACAAATAGAAATTGTGCATAAATACTTCCACGGACCGTGGTCATCTAACCTGGGTCCTGATAAAGTGCTGTCCACTTGCTGGTACAAACTATGGAACTTGTTTGCCTACTTGTACAAAGGGATGTAGCTTTACTGTGAGGGAAAAGTTTAGGCTTTGTGGGAAAAAAATGTGCTGCCATGGTTTGAGAATGGGAAAAGGACAAAGGAATCAGTCTGATGTTTTTTGTTTGTTTGTTTTTAAACTTACACAAGGAGCTCTGGTAGCGTAGTGGTTACGAATCGGGCTGCGAACCTTAAGATCAGCAGTTCGAAACTACCAGCTGTTCTGCGGGAGAAAGATGAGGCTTTCTGCTCCCGTAAAGATTTACAGCCTCAGAAACCCTGTACAGGGTCGCTATGGGTTGGAAATGCCTCCATGGCACACAACAACAACAACAACTGCTCAGGACCAAGGGTACTGACCATAGGGTACTTTGTTTGGAAAAATCGGGTAAAAGCAAATGTATTTGAGGTGGTGGCAAGCTTTAAAGTAGACTGCAGACATAAAGTTAACTGTTTGGCAGAGTCAGCAGTAATTCTGGACTCTACAGGTCATTAGGTCTCATACAACATTTACTAATAAAACTTTTAGATTCTGTATAGTCTTTAATTAAATGGTGATGAGAAAAAAAATGGCTGCCATGGTCTGGGGAATCCAATTATGTAAGAGAAAGTACTTTTTAAAAAGTTTATGTTCCTATTGCATGTTACATGTATCTTTAAAATAACATTGCAAAAAAAAAAATAACATTGTATTGTGAATTGAGGTTTACAAAATACATCATCAATATTACATTCAACAAATATACTTTGATTTTGTACATGGTTGCAATCCCCTCCATACACCAACAGTTAAGAGTATTTACCTCTATTCACTTTAGCTACTGCATCCCTCCCTGTCTCTTGCTACCTTCATGTTTCCTCTGCTAACCTTCCTCTTACTGTATATTGCCTGCCCTGTCACCCATGTTAACGTGTCTAGCCTGTAGCCTGTGAATAATTTTCCCTTCCCCATCCACCTGTAACTATCATAAATTGGTTCTTTTATCAAGAAAACCATATTAAAAAATAACAAAAAACAAAGACTTTTTACAGCATTAGTCTCATACAATGTTTGTCTTTTTGTGATTGACTAATTTCACTTAGCATAATGACCTCCAGGTTCTTCCATGTTGTGAGGTGTTTCACAGATTCATCATCATTCTTCATCGTTTTGTAGTATTCCATTGTGTATATGTACCAAAGTTTCACCCTTCTTCTGTTGATGAGCATTTAGGCTGCCTACATCTTTTTGATACTTCTCTTGTAGACAGCATATTGCAGGATCCTGTTTTCTTACCCATTCTATTGTTTCTGTTTCTTGACTGATTTAATCCATTTACGTTCGGTGTAATTATCAACAGGCATGAATTGATTGTTGTCATTTTTCTGTGTGTTTTTTGTGCTGCTGCTGGACTCTGTTACACATAATTTTGTATGCTGAGTTCATTTTGTTTGTGATTATTCTTGTAATTTTCATTTCTCTTGTGGTTAATGTTTACTAATGTCTGATTTTCCTCTTTTTAAATTTTGATGTACAGATATATATATTTTGAGATTACCCTGTAATTTATAACTTTTTCCCCTGTTTAAAACACTCTGTTTTATCTGGAAATCTACTTCACTTCCTTGCATTTATTTGGAAGTTCTTTAACTACATTATTCCCTTTTTGTTTTATAGTTGACTTCATTGTACACTGATATCTTTAATTCCCTATTTTTAATCTTGTAGGTTTGTTTTACTTTATTCAGTCTCCATGTATTTGACTTTATTTCTTAGATCTTCCTATTGTTGATTTCTAATTTTATAGCATTGTGATCTGAGAAGATGCTTTGAAGTATTCTGATGTGTTAAAATTTATTGAGACTTGCTTTGTGGCCTAACACATGGTCTTTTCTGGAGAATGTTCCATGTGCACTAGAAAGGAATGTATATTGTGCTATTGTTAGGTTGCTCTGTACAAATCTATGAGGACAAGTTGGTTGATTGTGTTGTTTCTTTGTGTCTTTGACTTGCTATTGTTCTGTCCTTTTTTGAAAGTGGTGTATTAAAATCTCCCATTATTATTGTAGAATTGTCTATTTCTTTCTTCAAGTATATTGTTGTTGTTGTTACGTGCTGTGGAGTCGGTTCTGACTTATAGCGACCCTGTACAGGGTTTCCGTGGCTGTAAATCTTTACAGGAGCAGAACACCTCATCTTTCTCCTGCGGAGCAGCTGGTAGTTTCGAACTGCTGACCGTGAGGTTCGCAGCCCAATTTGTAACCACTACGCTACCAGCAAGTATATTGTTGTTGTTGTTGTTGTGTGCCGTCGAGTCGGTTCCGACCCATAGCGACCCTGTACAGGGTTTCCGAGGGTGTAAATCCTTACGGGAGTAGAAAGCCTCATCTTTCT